ATGAAATCAGTTTTCCCAACAGCTGTGAGAGCAGGGCTAGGGTCACCCGTTTTTCCCTGCGCATTTTGAGGATCAGTGTACGTATGCTGACCTGACGTTCCTGAGATAAGAAAACTTGGCACAGGTTGGTATCTATTATTATGCCTAAGTGTAACAGTCGGTTGACTGGAGTCAAGTGGCTCTTTTGGAAGTTGATCAAAAAACCATGATCCTGAAGCATCTTCATTGTTAGTGCCATGTCCGACCAAGCATTCGGTGCCAAGGATGACTGGATTAGAATGTCGTCCAAGTAACACTGAATGCGGACCGGCACCAACCTGAGCTGTGCGGCAAGAACCGCCAGGACTTTGGTGAAGACCCTGGGGGCCGATGATAGGCCGAATGGCAAAGCCTTGTATTGGTAATGATGGTTGGAATACCTGAATCTGAGGAACTGTCTGTGACCCGGATATATGGGAATATGAAGGTATGCTTCTGTAAGATCTATTGACATCAGGAAATCCCCCTGACGAATGCTGGCCAAGATGGAGTGAAAAGTTTGCATCTTGAACTTATGATTCACTAGGTACGAATTTAGAACCTTGAGATCAAGTATTGCTCTCCATCCCCCTGAGGCTTTCGGAACCATGAAGAGGATGGAGTAGAACCCCTGCCCCAATTGATCTGACGGTACCTGCTCTATGGCCTCTATGTTTAGCAGATGTTGAATGGCTTCCTTCATGAGAACCTGCTTTACGGGATTTCGCGACAGGGGGCAGGCGATAAATCGCTGAGGGGTATATGTTAAGAATTCCAGGGATAGACCATCCCTGATGGTGGTGAGAACCCAAGTGTCCGTGGTGGTGTCTTCCCATTTGTGGAAATAATAAACCAGTCTGCCGCCTATGGGAGGAGTCCGTTCCAAGTCATTTTGACCTACAGAAGGGACGACCTCCCCTACCACGAGAGGGCCGCTTGTTCTGAAATTGTGGTTTGGGCCTGTCTCTGTAGCCGGACCGGTCTGAAGAACGGTCCGGCCCTGCTGGAAAGGACCGAGATACGCTCCCCGAAAACTGGTCTGAGCCTGCCCGAAAGGGCGGCGGTTGTATGGATTGAAACGTCTGCCTGTTCTTTTGGAAAGATGAGAGAGTACTCTCTTCTTCTCTCTGTTTTCCACCAGGTAAGGAGTGCAGGCCTCCCCAAAGAGGCGACAGCTCTGATATGGGGCAGCAGCTGCCCTCCATTTGTGTCTGGTGTCGGCAGGCCAGTTCTTAAGCCAGAACAACCTACGTGCGGCGACGTTAGAGGCTATGGCACGGGCCGAGAACCTGGCCGATTGCAGAGACACGTCCGCCATGTATTCTAGTGCTGCCCATAATTTTGTGACGACCTGGTGTACTCTTACCTCGTCTGGGGAGATCCTGGACTTAAGTTCGCGTAGCCAGATCAGTGAAATCCTGGCGAAAAAGAAGTTCGATGTCGAAGCTCTTATTGCCCACGCCGAGGCCTGGTGTGTTCTATGGAAAGAAATCTTGGATTTTTTATCCTCGGCCTTCAGAGCCTCAGATATATCCCCTGGGATCTTGGAGTCTGACAAAATGGGAGAAAGAGACTTGTCTACTCCCGGAACCTCCAGCGCGTCATTGAGGGTAGAGACCATATCTAAAAGTTTGTGGTCTATTCTCCCAAGGGCCGAGAAGGTGCCAGGGGATCCCCATTGATCCTGAACGGATTTCAAAAACATGGGAGGGCAAGGGATCTGCTGGTTCTTTGTGACTGGTTCCGAAAACAGCGGATCAGAACTCTGGCCAGAATCCTGATCGGACATTTGGGTTTCACCGGTTTGATCTTTCCGGTGGCGCAGGCCTTGCGTAAGAGCGAAGGGAAAGAAGTAGGATTGAACATGCCGACCAAGGGAGTGGCCTCCGTGTGAGTGTCCTCGTCATCTGACCACAGACCCTCTTCGAGGGCCTGCTCAGAATATTCGGATACCTCGCTGCCACCAGAATGCGGTGGTGAGGCCGGATCCGGGAACTCATAATCCCTGGACTGTGCAGTCCCCACGGATGGAGGGGGGTTTGACGGCCCCAGGATCGGTAGGGCCCTCGCTGAAGACGCCATGGCTTGAGCAACCGCCTGCAAAATCATGGCCTGGAGCTGGATGGTAAATGATGGTTGTTCCGGGGACTGGAAGCCCGCCGCTGTAGGAGTGAATGACGCCGATGGAACCTGGGGTGGACCCGTAAGGGAGAAACTCCCCGGGGTCCCACAAGCCACTGAAGGAGAGATGAGTTCGTTGCCCGGTACCGGATCTTGAATCTGCACTCTCAGATCCTGTTCAAAGAGAGAAAGGTGATCCCGGCTGAATCCAACTGAGGGACCTTGTTCTAGAGCTTATTCAGGGGACCAAGCCCGCACAAGCGACAAGGGGCGTGGGCCCTCTGTTGTGGATGTAAGAGGGGGAGTTGAGGCAGGTGGGACCTCCGCTGCACGTTGTTGGGCCTTGGCAAATTGTTTTTCCAACGCCCTATGCCTGCTACCAGCCTGCTTTTTGGCCGCCTTAGAGGTCCACTTAGTCTTGGCCTTGATCTTTGCGGCCGCTTCTTGTTTGGGCAACTTGTGTTTTTTATTTCCACTGGAAGTGGAAGCTTGTGGAATGGTATTATCCAGCATGGTGAAGAAAAAACAGTTTTCCAGCAGATCGCTGAAGCTGTCCTGGTCTGCAGGAGATGAGGCTATGGCCCACCTAGGTGGTACAGGCCTATACGAGGGTCTGTGAAATCCGACCTGCCATTAAGCGCGGAGTCACACTGCGCGATGTAAGTCGCGCGTCACCCAGGGAGCTGTTCTCTCCCCTTTCAATTGTTCAGTGTCCTTGGTTATTATTATAAACAATTATTATTATTATTATTATTATTATTATTATTATTATTATTATTTTGTAACGGGGGACCCTCGTGTCTCACTTAGTGGCGGCTAGGACAGCAATTGCTAGTCCACTAGATGCAGACAGCGGAACAGGCAAAGAAAGAAACAGCCCAATTGATCGTAGCTCAATAGTTAGAGCAATCTAGCAGGGAGGAATGTGCAAGGTGCTTAATGCCCAAGGGAAAAATACAGATAACAACTGATTAAATGGTAAATAAACCTGCACGATGCAGAGGGAAGATAGAGAAGAAAAATGAGTTCTGAAATCCCCTTCGCCAGCCACGTGGTGATCTAAAATGGCGCCTGCGAGAGTGGAGAAGAAGAGCCTGGAACACAGTGAGGGATATAGGAGCCCCTATACCCCCAGCGAGAGTTGAGGAATACTGTCTCTCACCGGTCAAAAATATAAGGGAGAAGGTTTCCAACTGCCCTGATTGCCCACGCTGATAGGGGAAAGTAACAGGTAAGGGGCAACGAAAAGTAACAGGAGAAAAGGCAACGATCGCGTGGCGAGCCTCAAAATGGCGCCCGCGACGGCCCGTGAGGGAAAGCAAAAGGCGAATGCTAATACCAAGGTCTGGGAATTCTGTGGGAAGCAGCAGAAGAGAAAATCGGGCAGAAGCAACAAGAAATCAGGAAAGGCTGTAATCAGAGGAAACCGATCGTCACGCTGCGCAGAAAGCGGCGATCGCGACAATCAGCTGATCAGCGGTTGGAATGCTGCCGAAGGCAAAAACCAAAGCTAATTTGCAAACTAGGTCAGTGCTGAGCCCAGCGCTGGCTAGCTGGCAAAAAGGAATGAAGAATCCACGAAATGAGATAAGGCAAATACTACCTGTCCTCCTAAATCTATTCCGGGAGCCAAAGTACCACGTCTCTTCTAGGCTGAGACCAAAAAGAAACTGGGGCATGGTCTAGTCCAGTAGGGGCGTGGCAACTTTGACTGATTGGTCTAATTGGGCTAGAGGACTTCTAAACCCATTCATGGATTCTACATTCCTTCCATGCTGGAGAAACTTTGCTTTGTGGCATAAAACAATAAAACTATTCTAGATTTTGGCATCAGTTTTTAACATATTCAATGAGAAACCCCTGTCCCAAATCTCAGGAAATATATGGAGCCTATTTATAGATAAGAACACAATATTGAGGACAGAAATTAATATAAAACTTTGTCATAAATTCTGAGGAGATACAATAGCAGAGTTTGTAATAACTACAGGTAGACCCTGTTTAACAACTAGTTACAGTTATGACTTTACAACCAGTTCTCTCATTTACAACCATTGCAGCATCCTCATAGTCACATGATCAGTTTGTGGGCACTTTGCAACTGGTGGGCATTTACAAACACTGC